TTATTTAGCCTTAGTTGCTAGTCACACAGATATTTAAGAATCCATGTTCAGAATGTTTGATATGATTGGCTTAATGCTTTTCGTTCTGAGAAGAAATGTCCTTTAGCCTGAAGAGCTTTTCTCTTTTAAATAAAAGATCCTCTGTTTTTAAAAAGAGGCTTCTCAAATGTGGCCTGAACAAGGAAGTTGATCTGTCTGAACTAGCATCATTTGTACAACACATTTAAGGTGGTTTGCCAACAAATTTTACAAAATGTAACTTTACATCTACGTGCCACAGTGCTCCAAGCAAAAGGGACATTTAGTAAATTAACATCCAAATGAGCCTGTATTGTTTTGTTTTGTTTTTTCCCCATAAGATGCTTAGATTGGGAAGCTGTTTATATTTTATTTCCTATAAGATATAGCATAACTTCAAGCAAACTGCAAAATTCTGTGGAGAAATATAGACTAGCCAGCCATATGGGCAGTATGTGGGCTTCAGTAGAGCTCTGGTGGATGTGACAGCACTGATGGGGAACTGACCTTATATAAAAGGGCAGAACTTCAGGACCTGCAAAAGAAGGGGAAGTGGCAGATATGTTTTCAGTCATTCATGGGATGAATCTCTTACCTGGTTATTTGGTTATGTCTCTAAACTTGTTTATTTTTCTAAATTCTTGCAAGGTCACTTTTCAGTAAGACAACAAAGAGAGGGATGTAATTCATACAGACCTGGAAGCTGATTTATTATGCCCATTGAACAAAATACCTCCCAGTAACATCTATCCTGCCATACTAGGAGTCTAATATATATCACTATTTATTACACATGGACATTTGCTGTATTAACTCTCTTTAGCTGTTCTTGAATTCTATGGCATTTATATGCAAAACTGATGATGCACAAGTCTGCTACGCTTCAGAAAATACAGCAGTCTCAGAACCAAAATGTGCTGTAGAGTGCACTTTCTATATTCTTTGTCTTGCCATTTCGATGCAGAAAATCATTACAATTATTCAAGGTGAAAGTTGCAGTGAATTGTATCTAGAAGCAACCTAAGTTTAGCATAAAAGTATTGCCGATTGACATACTGTAGCAGTACAGCATCACTTATTAAATACAGAGTCAGAGACTGTGACACTCTTCAGGGTGCCCAGGACTGTAAGCCACTGTGTTACCCCTTTGCTTCAGTAAAGCTGGAACTTAAACTGTGTCAGCTCCCTAACGCTCCAGCCTCCTTGCCTTGGCAGCAAATTCCTCAAGACTATGCCAGTCTAACACGTGCCTTGTGGGTAACATTCAGTGAACCCAAGATTGCCAGAGTGGTGTCTCTGAAGAATCCAATCCCTATCATTGCACACTCACAGAAATTACCAAGTCTACCTCTAAAGAGACATACCAGCCTGTTAGTTTAGCTGAAGATGCACACTATACATCAATATACAGCACTTAGTTGAATTTATAATAAAACAAGAATGTTTATTAATAAAGAACATAGATTTAAGTGATATTAAGCAACACAAGAAAGTTATGATCACAAACAAAACAAAAATAACAATTTCTAGTCACTAAAGTTTAACTTCAGTAAGATACAATCTTTGCATAAGCAACGTTGTGACTTACATCAAGCTACCAGCCCCTTAGGAAGGAGGATCCACTGTTCTCAGAATCTGTGGGTGCTGATTCCTTTGTCTCCTAAGTGATGCATAACAAAGGAGTCCCCTTTCTTCCCTTTTATATCTCAAAAAGCTTTGAAATGTATTCTTTGAAAACTAAAACCAAAGTTCCTTTTCCCTGTTACTTGTTCTTGAGGGTGCAGGCATCAAGCCCATTCTTTATGCTCTGCTCAGTTTGCTTTATTGATCAGCTTGATCACTTTGTTTACCATATATGCAAATGTACTTTCACTGTCCTTGCTTGTAATCAAGCCATGCTGTTTTGTTTCCTGTCTGCTAACTTGATTCTTGCAGGTAAATCCACATTCCTTTGTCTAGGGCAGACTTAGGGTTGCCAACTTTTTAATTGCAGAAAACTGAATACCCTTGCCCCACCCTCTTCCCCGCCCCTTTCCCAAGGCCCCCGCCCCATCTCTAAGGTCCTGCCCCCGCTCACTCCCCCCCCCACCTCGCTCATTTTCACCGGGTGCAGGAGTGGGTGAAGGCTCCAGCTGGCGGTGCGGGCTCTGGGGTGGGGATGAAAGGTTTGGGGTGCAGGAGGGGTCTCCGGGCTGAGGCAGGGAGTTGGGGTGCAGGAGTGGATTCAGGGTGCAGGCTCCGGGTGGCGCTAACCTCATGAGGCTCCCAGGAAACGGTGACATGTCCCGCCAGCTCCTAGGCAGAGGGGTGGCCAGGGGGCACCGCTCACTGCCTCTGCCCACAGGCGCCGCCACCACAGCTCCCATTGGCCACAGTTCCTGGCCAGTGGGAGCTGCGGAGCCGGCACTTGGCTGGAGCCAGAGCCCATGGGCAGTGCACAGAGCCCCCCGGCTGTCCCCCACCTAGGAGCTGGAGGGACATATCACCACTTCCTGGGAGCCGGGCACGGAGCCTGCCTGCCTGCCCACCCCACTGGCACTGCGGTCAACCGGATTTTTAGCAGCCCAGTCAGCTGTGCTGACCGGAGCCGCCAGGGTCCCTTTTCAACTGGGCATTCCGGTCTGGATGCCTGGCAACCCTAGGCAGGCTTGTTTATTAGCTGCCTTCACAACATGTTTTAAGTACATATTTCCAGTATACATACATAACTTTTTATGTGCAACCCAAACATATATCATGAAATGATATTCATGATCAGTTTAGATACGATACCTTACATCACTGACTAAATATTCTGACCAAACTGCATTGAATGTGCCCTTTGCTGGTAGGCATAAAGAGGTTCTTAGGGTCACAGAGACCTAACAAGAAAGCTCCTCTTTCTATTAAATTTCTGTAACCAGATCAATAAGTCACCTGTTTTTATTGATGGTGGCCAAAAATACTTATTTTTGTTTTATTGTGATTTTTTTAACCTGGCCCCACTCTTCTATTTTTCATCTTTTCTTTTAGAAATTAATTGACTTAGTTTACCATGGCAGATTCTGAAATAACTGGTAAATCTTCAGTATTGTAAAGTCCCTTCTTTTGAACACTTTTTTTTGGGAAAAACATGTATTACTGAAAATAAAATCCTTGGAATCTAAGAGAGCAGCACTTTTAATATTAATAATAGTACATCACATTTTTAAAAATGCATAATGAAAAGTTTTGTGGGAAAGTATTTTTAATGCATTCATAACAAATCTTTGCTAATTATACATTTTAAATCAGGATCGCTGTTTGGTACAGAGGGCAGTACATGGGAAGTCAGAAAGGAATGTATACCACCACTCTGCAGGCATGACAGAATCAATAACAAAAGACTAACACAGCATTATAGCATTTTTAAAAAATATAGAAGTAATACCTTAATAGAGAAGTTCTTGATTTTAAGAATTTAAAAGAAATCCCACAAGAAGTTTCTCCATTGCGCAAAAAAAAAAAAGAAAGAAAGAAAAAAGGGGAGATTATTTCCAGAAAAAATATAATTCTAAAAATGATGCAAATGATATTTTTTTATAACATTGTAAGTATATTGTAAAGATAAATAGAATTAATTGTATAGATGGTGCAGTGCACACTCTGATCAGTACTAAATGTGGTGCACACAAATTATAGGGATTTTTGCTGTCATTTATTTGAAAAATTTAGAAGCGCAGCTGTGTGGTTTCTATGGAAACCACACTGAAACCTAGATACCACAAACTTTCAGACATCACTCTGCAGGGAATCCAACACTTTGACAGCTTTCGTTTTATGTACTGGGGAGTCAACTACAATTTTACAGCTTATGGCCTAATGACTTAAAAGCTTTCAGTTTTTTCCACCTAGAATCAGATAATGTGTATATAAAATGTCTGCATATAGAGAGAGTATATTTTTATTTAGGTTAAATTAGGCTAGCGAATCCATGTTTGCAATAGTTGCTTGCAAGGAAGAATAAAAATTGAGACTGAAGATAACATTTTTACATAAGTGAGCTAAATACTGTTTAATTGGTAAGGAGAATTAGCATAGGTGCGTATGTGCAAAATATGAATGCTAGCAATAGAGTCGGGTATTTCAGGACAGATGATTTTATGAGCACTGGTAGTAGAAGGAAGAAGGAAAAGAGAGTACTAATAAAATCTGTTTGAATGTATTCTCTTGTTCAGCATAAAGAAAGTGCATGTAAATAACAAAACCATGTTTTCTATTTGTAGTTATTACTCCAGTGGTAAGAATTATTTTTAAAAGGTGCCAAAACATTTTTTTTTTTACAGAAACAGTATCCATATCACATTTATGTCGCATGATGTAAAATTAGATAGAACATACAGGTGGTTAATGCCAAGTAAAACTCAGTGGTATTTGTTCTGTGAAAATGAGATATTTAAAAAAAAATTACCATGAAAAAAAATTATAGAGAAAACTATATTTACAGTTTTGGACACTTGTCCCATTTTAGGTACGTTTGGGAATCACAACGGATACTAAATAAAAGCTTCCAAAGGTCAAAATTATCAAAAAGTACTGGATGAAGTTTGTATATCAATTTAAATTTAAGCTATGTAAATTCAAGATATCAGACTAGATATTTTCAGCTCCAGAAGGAAGTTTATCTTGAAATGGAATGTGATATTATATTCTGCTTGTTTATATCAGTCAACTGTATGTTTGCTACTTTATCTTTCATGGGTATCACATGATTGCTGTCAGTTGACCCAAGCATCTCATAATTATGTGTCTGGAAGAAGCCATGCGAAAGGAGAAACTGCTGTTGCTGGTTTCAGAGTGGTAGCCGTGTTAGTCTGTATCAGCAAAAAGAACGAGGAGTCCTTGTTGCATCTTAGAGACTAGATACCATACCTCTCTGGTTAAGTAATACTAGAATGTCCTACATAATTCTAGTTCTTTTCTATTCATTTGTACACATATATATTTTCTTTGTCTCTTTTTAGTTTGCAGAAAAAACTGATAGAGAGTACTACACACTGGATGACATGTTTGTTTCCAAAGCAGCTAAGGGAGAGCGGAGTGGAGAAGAAGACGAAAGACACAGAAGAAAAGCAATCTATGAACATCATCAGCTTGTTGCACGTATGGAGAAGTGCCCATATTGTTTTGATAGTCCTGAACTTCCAAAACATCTTATTATTGCAATTGGCATCAAGGTAAGAAAGTAGCAATTTGACATGAGCATGGAAAAAAATAAAGGAAGGCAGTTTAGTGCTAGAATTTCCTGAGATTAAAAATAAAATTGCTTCTTTGGCATGATTTATTGATTCACATGTTATTTTCCTGGCCCTTCCAATTAAACAGAAAGGAAAATTCCTCAAGGGTGAGATTAAAAAAAACCATGAATCTGTCTTGCATGATGAAGTTAATTCTCAGAACTTGATCCTCTTCAGATTTGCAGCTGACCTTGGTATCTATGGAAAATCCTCAAGGGCACTGAAACAATGATAAAATAGCTGAACACATAGATTACATAAGGTAGATGAATATGCAAAAGACCAAATGGGGGTCAGCGTCAATAGATTAGGCTGACCACATAGCAAGTGTGAAAACTTGGGATGGGGGAAGGAGAGAGAATAGGTTGTATATACAAGACAAAGCCCCTAATATTGGGACAATCCCAATAACATCAGGACTTTTGGTCCCCCTAGAATATATAAGAAGAAAAAAGTTCACTTTGGGTAGGAAGGAATTAGAAGCAGTTAAGGAGTAAAGTATAATTCAGAAAGTAGTATAATTGCATCCTTTATCCTCCCTCCCACCACCGCGCACACACAACTACCTGTGGTGTGTGAGTATAGATCCAAAGACAGCTATAACTGCTGTTCAGAAGGTTACAGTTGGATTACTTTACAGCTACACAGTGTAGATTGAAACAGGTTAGCATGAAATTGCAGTTTGATTAAATGCATCTATGTTTAGCATTACCAATATCAGGGACGGCTCCAGGGTTTTTGCCGCCCCAAGCAGCGGGGAGAGGGGGGGGAAAAAGCTGCAATCGCGATCGGCTTCACTGCACCGCTTTCTTCTTCAGTGGCAATTCAGCGGCAGGATCTTCCCTCTGAGAGGGACCGAAGGACCCGCCGCCGAATTGCTGCCGAAGAGCCCGACGTGCTGCCCCTTCCCGTTGGCCGCCCCAAGCACCTGCTTGCTGAGCTGGTGCCTGGAGCTGGCCCTGACCAGTATTTGGTATAACGTATTGGCTGGCATCTTTTTTGATGAGAACTGACGCTGTATTTAGGAAAAGAAGTGTCTTGGACTGTACAATGAAAGATATTGCAATAGCATGTTTTGTAAGGTGTAATCATCACATAAAATCACTTGTATCACATATTGATTATAGAGAAATGCTAGCCTCTCCATAGATGAGGCTGAAGAGCTTTTATGGTAAACTTTATTATCATCTTTACTCAGGGCTGAAAGTAACTTAAGGGACTTACTGGTATGCAGGGTGGACGGAGTCCTGAGCAAGGTGGAGAGGGGGGTGGCTAAACCGGAAGAGGCAGGGCCTCAGGCGGAAGAGGCGGGGCTGGGTTCAGACTACCCCAGCCAGCCCTTCAGCACGGCCTGGAGGCGATTTAAAGGGCCCCGGGGTCCTGGCTGATACCGCCAGTGCTACCCCGGAACTGCTGACCTTTAAATCGCTGCCGGAGCCCCGGGGCTCCTAGACTCTACTGCTACCGCGGGGCTCTGCCAGCGATTTAAAGGGCCGGAGCCCTGGGCCCTTTAAATTGCCGCCAGAGCCCCGGGGAAGCTGCCCCCCGCCAGTACGGTCAGCTGTGTACCGGCTCTTACCGGTACGCCAGACCAGACCATACCGGCTTACTTTCACCTCTGTCTTTACTCCCATTTTAACATCATCAGAATGAAACCAACCACACTGAAATTTCATAGGTGCAACTTGTGCTGAAATAGAGCAATTAGATAAAGTTTGAGCTAAATTAAATACATATTTTAGATGTATCCATTCAAAGCCCTTGGTAAATGTACATGTGATGGATTGGACATCCCCTGTCCCGGGATGCCACCTGATGTACTGGGGTTTCACTGAGCCCGCCTGCTCCACTAGCCTGGGCTCCCTCTCCCTGTTTTGTTGAATCAGGCTCTCCGGTCTCTGGAAGCGCACACAAAGAGGTAGGGACGCACCAGCTGTAGAATCACACAGAGTCTGCAAACAGCTCTCTGTGGGAAGATTCAGCTAGGAAATTGTCGAGCACTCAAGTGCACACCTCCTGTGGGGAGTGAACCCAAGTCTGCACAGCGCAAGTTCATGAAAATTTGCCCTCTCCCTCAATGTGGAGAGAGATATGCACAGCTTCTTGCCCTCCCCCCCCCCCCACCCTAGATATGAATTACACAAACTGGATTATGTTATAAACAAGAAATAAGTTTATTAGCTATAAAAGGTAATTTTAAGTGATTATAAGGGATAGCAAACAAAACAAAGCAGATTACCAAACAAATAAAACAAAACATGCATACTAAGCTTAAGATCTTAGAGACTGGTTTCAAGAAGTAATTTTTCACTCTAAATGTTGCTTTTGGGGCAGGTTGCAGAAATTCTTGAAGGTTAGCTACCCTGCTTGCAGCTTAAATCTTCAGGTATCTTATTTACAGAGTAGATTCCTTTTCCAGCCTGGGTTCAGTACTCCTCCCCGTTTCCCTTTGTCCTTGTTCCTTAGGTGTTTCCAGCAGTCATTCTGGGTGGGGATTCAGTGAAGAATCAACTTACTCCCCAGCCTTAAATAAGATTTACATAAGGCAGGAATCTTTTGTTTCCCAGTCTTGACCTCTCCCTCCTTTTAGTGGAAAATTATTAGAGGTCCAAGATGATGTTTAGTACCAGGTGACATGACCACATGACCTAGTAGTGTCACAGATACGTCTCAGGACACCTCTCATGAAGGCGAGAGATTAGTATCTTCAAAGTCTTATTGTTTCTTCCTAGTGGCCCATCAAGGCTGATGGCCTGTTGTCATGTCAGTGTTTGCCAAGTACACACCCAGTTGTAATTGTTACATAGTCAATATTCCTAACTTTAGATTCAGAAATGATACATGCATACAAATTGGATTAATCACATTCAGTAAATTATAACCTTTCCAATGATACCTTACAAGACCCATCTTGCATAAAATGTCTGTTATGCCATATCCATATCATAAACGTATTTCCATAAAGAATATGGGGTGTAACATCACATTACACAATGTATTAATAGAAATAAAAAAATCCATACCTTGATGACTGAACTGTTGTCTAAATTACAATCCCCTCATCAAAATAAAAAATTCTCCCCCTGTACCTTCAAACCTAGGGTGGGAAACCTAAGAGGGTAGCTAAGCTTTGCTGATCTGCAGCTTAGACAAACTATACAAATAGATTGGATTTAAGATGGCAGCAACCAGAAGCCATGAATTTTAGTCTGTACCTGAATTTCCTTCATCAAAAATTCAAATCAGTATCTTCATATTTCAAGCCACAAGGGAAATGGAACAAATGCAAAGAGTAGAAGGCAAGTAGGGAATGTGGACAGTTCTTTGGGCAAACGTAACTGTGAATTCCCTTGCTTGTGTGTGTAGTTTTTAAAGTGTAACTTCACATTTATTATCCAAGCTTTCCATTTTTAGTATTTTCTGAGAATTATATAAATAAATGCTCTTTCCCCCCTCTTAAGTAACTGATAAATGTTTACAACCTTAATGCCAGAGTAACACAGCTTTTATTTAAAAACCATAAAATCCAGTAGCCCACGAAAGCTTATGCTCTAATAACTTTGTTAGTCTCTACGGTGCCACAAGTACTCCTGTTCTTTTTGCGGATACAGAGTAACATGGCTGCTGCTCTGAAACCATAAAAACCTTGCAATAAGTATCTAGATGTTTGGAAATCTCTGTTTCTGAGAGATTTTACATGGGGTTTCAAATTCAGAAATACTTCATGCAATAGAGTTAGGAGATACCCACATATTTTCAGAGTAGGACTATTTGATATGCTGAAATCAATATGCTGAAATCAAATTCTGCCTTCCCATTCATGTATGTGAGGGCAGGATAGGATAGTCCAGTGTTTAAGTCTATGATGTAATAAAATTGCATTTACAATTGTAATGAAATCAAGAATAAAATTGAATCTGATCATTCAGTCATTGCTTATAAAGTAAATAGAGACTATTTATTTATTTATTTGGGTTTAAACACACACACCCTCCCAAATTTGTATACAACCTCCATCCACTCATTGTAAATTTTTTAATTTAGGTGAAACCCATTTTCCAACCCATTTAGTTGACAGAGCCATTTCAAACATGCTATGAAATCTGCATTCACATGTTCAGTGGATTGGTAGTGAGAGCTTCCTGATCCTGACTAACAGATGGAACTTGACTCCATCTTTCCTTGCAAATTCTGTGTGTCATATGTTAAGGATGTCCTGCCTTGCAGACCTGGCATTAGGCCTGATTTCTCCTTGGGCAAAACATGTTAGACTGTTGATTCCTACCTCCTTCTGCCCAAACTCCATCAATTATCCGTGGGGCTGTCCTATCCCTTTATTTCATAGAATTGTGGGATTAAATCCCCAAGCCCCATACTCTCCTTTGAAACCTGGCACAAATAATAATCAAATGCTAATGCTATTACATTATTTAAGGAGCTATACTTCAGCTCAAGTTGTATTCTGAGTGTCTGTTTGTTTCTGTTGATATTTATAAATCTTACAAAATTACAAAATATTTTTGACCCATTAAATCTGAAACACTTTTAATATAGAGTTTGCTTTTTACCATTCCCCCCCAAATTCCTCATGCTTTATTTTTAATTATTTTTACTTGATTTAAAATTAATAATAATAAATGAAAAAAGTAAAAATAATCTCTCCTTTTTTTATGAGAGTTTGCAACCACAGTAGACTGAACAGCATGACTTTTGTTATATTTGGGATAATACTTAGGCCTGGTCTACACTGGGGCGGAGAGGGGATCGACCTAAGATACACAACTTCAGCTACGAGAATAGCATAGCTGAAGTCGACATATCTTAGGTCGACTTACCTCGCATCCTCACGGCGCGGGGTCAACTGCTGCCGCTCCCCCATCGACTCCGCCTCTCACCGTGGTCGCAGCAGAGTGATCGGGGATCGATTTATCGCGTCTACACTAGACATGATAAATCGATCCCTGATAGATCGATCATTACCCTTTGATCCGGTGGGTAGTGTAGACATACCCTTAGTAGAAATGCTGATACCACATTGTCTCGATACTACTAGTATTGTTTTAGCAAAGTAAATATGATATGCAAAGGGCCCGCTCTAAGTTACTTAGCACCCTCCTCTCCTGTTGATGATTTTGGGCTTGTCGTGGCTCAGGGCTTTTCAGGATCTGGCCCAAAAGAAGCTAAGAAGCTCAGTCACAATGTTCATCAGCTTAACTGACTTGCCAGAACCCTACTGTTTGTTTAATTTAAATCGGCTTAAATATGATTTTCTTGCTTTAAACATTGTTGGAAGAGGACAACTGCCTTTATTAGATTAAATTTTAGTAAAATCCCGTGTTCATCTTTAGCTGGATTAAAATGTTTTTTGACATTGGAAAGAAATGAGTATTTTTGTGATTGGGAGTGAAAATGTTTTTGTCTAGGTATACTTATCCTTGCCGAACTATCAGTCCCTCACTGAAGGCCACTGCGTGATAGCCCCTTTGCAGCACCACACTGCTGCAACACTTCTGGATGAAGACATCTGGGAAGAAATCCAGGTCAGCAAAGCACTGCTACTTAATACAGCTGTGAAGATAGCTCATTTTCTAGCCACTTTGTAATAATTTGATTAATATATTAATATACGTATTGTAAGTGACTTGCTTCCGATCCATAGCCCTTGGGGGCTTTTGAGGTTGCCTGGGTTTTCTCTGCTTTCCATTCCGAGGTTTGAGCTGGTTCTGGCTGTGGACAGAACTATCTCACTTCAGGGACACCCCTCCCCCGCCCCCATAGAATTCCATCCTAGCTAAATACACCAGAGTTTGCTAGTTGTCCTCAAGAGATAGTGTAAGGGATAACATTTTCAAAAGCATCAAAGTGATTTAAGCAGTTAAGTCTCAATGAAAGTCAGTGAGACCTAAGTGCTTCTGAAAATTTTACTCATGGTCTTTCTGTTTGAGTTAATTAATCTGTTTGATCTTTTTGTCCTCCCTCTTTCACATGATCTCTTGAGTTATTTTTACTTTGCCCTTCTTTCGGCTTCTACTTTATTGTTCATTGGGCTCAGTTTTACATTAGTTGCCCTTTTAAACCTTTGAATAACACTCACATACTGGTGCAATGATGAGCTGTACACAAATTTTTAAAAAAATGTGCACCATCAGATTTCATGTTACCAGTTTTTGTGACCAAAATATCTTATCTCAATATTATTTGAATAGGTGCCTAGTTATGATATATATTGTAATATATGGTTGTGCCAGTTTTTCAGATTCTTATATTCACTGCTGGCTTTTATGGATAAATTGGGCATTAATTGTGTCAAGAGCTGGAAAGCCAAGTGGTTCACCAGTTTGCCAATCCTGGTTAACAGGATTTCACATTCAGTGTGTTTCTCATCATTATTCCTTTGATCTAGCTTGTTGTAGGCCTAGTTTCTGATATCTCTTCAAAACATTATACATATTTACAGTCCTGATGAATCTTGTCCAGGAAGTTTTTCAGTCAAAGGCACCTGCCCAGCAAATATGGGAAAGATCAAGACTTCAGAAGAGAGTGACTGAACTGGTCATTTCTTCACTCTGACTTCAATGGTCAAAAGTGCCAAAAAAGGAAATTATAATATTTTTCAATGTTCCCTCTAATTTTTTACATCTGTGTGCGAAATGAATTTTGTTATGTGCATCAATATGGAGGTGATGTGTGGCGGGGGTGGAGCTGAGGGGTTCAGAGTGTGGGAGGGGGCTTAGGGCTGGGGCAGAGGGTTAGGGTGCAGGAGGTGATGGCTCTGACTGGGGGTGTGGACTCTGGGGTGGTGCCAGGGATGGGGGGTTTGGGGTGCGGGAGGGGGCTCGGGTCTGGGGCAGAGGGTTGGGGTGTGGGAGGAGGCTCCGGTGGGGGGGTGGCAGGCACTGGGGTGAGTCTGGGGATGAGGGATTTGGGGTACAGGCTGCCCCGGGTCTGTGGCAGGGAGAGAGGACTCACCCCAACCCTCTCTCGCTGCCACCACCTGGGGCCGGGGGAGAGGCGCCTCTCCCCACCGCGGTAGCCCCAGGGCTGGGGGAGAGCGCCTCACCACGGCAGCTCCGGGACCAGGGCCGGGGGAGAGGCACGTCTCCCTGGCCGTGGCAGCTCCGGGGCTGGGACTGGGAGAGAGGCAACTCTCCCTGCCAGGGCAGCTCCAGGGCAGGGGACAGGCTCCTCTCCCCACCGCAGCCCTACATACCCCCTACCTCTCTCCTCTCCAGTTCAGACCCTTGTGGCTGCGCAGATGCATGGCCCTTGATAGCCTGCAGCCCAGCCGCGCTCTTGCTTTTTCTATGTTAAAGATCTTTGAAGCCAAGGGTCAAAGCAGACGTGACCAAATGTAGAAAGAGATTTTATGAAATGTAATGACGTAGCTCAAAGGCCATCCACTAAGAAATCCATAGCAAACAGCCTTGGAACCTTAACAGGCAACTTGTCTTGTAGGAGATTTGCTTCAATTCAGGGCAACTTCTATTCAATGGCATGGGTATCCTGTAAAACTGACATCCCATACCTGAATGACAGGTGGAATTTTAAGGCCCAAGAACTAAAGGACAAAAGACTCTGAGGAAAAAAGTGACTCAAAGCTGTAGGAGTGTGACAGGTGTATTTTTCATCTGTTTTTCAACATAGTAGTAAATCATCTAATGAAAGCCCACTGGAAGTAGGCACAGCAGAGGCGGTTGCCATTTATTGTATATTGTTTGTATTATCATAGCACCCAAATGTCCTAATCAGGATCGGATTCTATTATACGGTAACTCCTCACTTCATTTCCTAGTTATGTTCTTGAAAAAATACTACTTTAAGCAAAACGATGTTAAGTGAATGCAATTTCCCCATAAGAATTAATGTAAATAGGGTTCCTGGGGAAAAAATTTCAACAGACAAAAGACATTATAGACATATACAGTATATGTTTTAAATAATTTCAAAAAAACAATTTAATACTGTATTCACCAATGATGATTGTGAAGCTTGGTTGAGGCAGGGGCGTCACCGGGTCGGGGCTCAGGGGCTTGCTCACTCCGTCCGCCCACCGTTCCAGGGGGAGTGGGTTTAGGGCACGGGGGCTTGCCTCACTCCGCCCGCCCAGCGTTCCAGCCAGGGAGCAGGCAAGCCCCCGCGTCCCCACCCCATTCCTCGGCAGGAGTGCCAAGTGGGGTGAGCCAAACAACCTTATAAGGGAACATTGCAGGACTTTAAAGGAATATGTTCTCTAATAGACCAGCAACCTAATAATGAAACAATGTTAACCGGGGATGACATTAATTGAGGAGTTACTGTACTACGTGCTGTAGAAATCACACAGGCTTCTTGCTCCAAAGACCTTAAAATGTCATTTGAAAAAAAAGTGCTGTAAGTAGCAAATAAGAGACAGAAAAGACAACGTGGGACCAAGACTAACAGTTTAAAAAAGAAATCAGTTATATTCCTAGATTCCAAAGCCAGAAGGGACCATTGTGATCACCTAGTCTGACCTTCTGCATAACACAGGCCATAGAACTTCAGAATAATTCCTAGAGCACATCTCTTTAAAAAAAAAAAAAATCATTCAATCTTGATTTAAAAATTGTCAGTGATGGAGAATGCACCACCACCCGTGGTAAATTCCAGTGGTTGACTACTCTCCCTGCTAAAAATATGTGCCTTATTTACTTCCAGTCTGAATTTGTCTAGCTTCAACTTTCAGTTATTCTCTCATGTTCTATGTTTCTATTTTCGTAAGGTTCTGGAGGCAGTCACTGTGTCCACTTCTGGGTCTTCCCTCCTGCTGAACACACTGGTCTTGTTTAACAAATAATAATGGCATTCAAAACTGCCAGTGCCCTATCCCTGCATGCTGTAACTTAGATGAATTACTAGATTATGCAAACTATTCTGGATGTGAATGAATTGACTGTGCAAACAACCCTGTAAGAGACATAGAAAGGTATTCTGGGGATATGTGATTGTGCAGAAAATTAGTCCTTGACATATAGAATTCCCTAATTTGTGTATGTAGTCACAGTAATTGCACATTCAGATTAGGAATGCTGTTACATGTGATACAACATTGTAAATGTCAGATCTTCAATACCTTGGTGATTATGAACAAAAAGCAACAGTTGTTGTTTTTTTAAATTGGCAAAGAAAAAATAGCTTAAGAATGGAATTGGACAGATTTGACATAATTCAGCCATAGTGTCATCTATTAAATTGGACTCTTGCTAAACAGGGAAGGAAAGGAAAGAAATCCTGCTGCATATAGTGTAAATTCCTTGAAAGATTAAATCTCAAATAGGAAGTAAAATCAACATGGCAAAGGGGGGGAAAAGAAAAATAGAGCAAAAGTTTAAATACTGTAAAACACAGTAACTCAGCTAACAGTAACTATTACTGTGTGTGTGTGTGTATGTGTGTGTGTGTGTGTGTGTGTGTGTGTGTGG